ATGCAGCTGAAGGTGGCACCATAGGCAACAAAACCCTACTCTTCAAATAACTTTCAAAATCAGATGAAAGCTGAAGAAACCCAAAGAAAAGGACTTCAAGAACAAAGGAGAATCTAGGACAGGTTAAATGTCTGTGTTGTAAATGAGACCAGTGGTTAACAAAACAAGCTTAGGATGATGATATAAATCCTGTTTAAGCATTGGCTAGCGAGCTCAGGCCTTAAAAGGTATGGGCACAGGCTGAAAGCAGAAGTTCCAGAATGGTAAACTAGTCACTAATGGCCAATTAACGGTCACTGAAAAAAGCACAACCTCAAGCACTGGGAAAAGACTGCTTTTACATTAAGAAAAGCAGCAGCAGCTAAGCAAGGGAAAAGCGTCCAGCTGAAGGCACTGCTGTGGCCTGGGGAATTAACACCCCCTGAAGGATTTTGCATCATGTAGTCTAGGGATAGACAAGAGGGTCGGGAACCGTCTAGAAACTAAACGCATTTATAAAAGGTTAAGATCCCAAACTGGGCATGGGGAAGGGAAGAGAAGATGGTAGAGAAGAAAAATACCCACTTCAGTTCTAGCTTCCCTTGCAGACGACCTCTCAAGCTTCAACATGTCATCTTGTCAACTAAGACCATCGCTGGTACCCATCATTGCCAACTCTACAGTATCAGCTCCATGGGATTTTATATTCACATCAAATTTAGGACACAGATGTTAAGGACCGGCTGCTTTGAATATGTAGTGGTAGTGATTGATAGTAAGAACTAATTTGTAGTGATAATGACAACTAATGCATAAAAGTAAGTTATTAGCACAACCAGTGCTGTTAATGATTGTCAGTCCAGTAAAGTGGGGTTGGTTTTGGGGGGTTTTTGTTACACAGGCATCCCTAACCTTCAGGTCATTTTCAGTGAAAAAGCAATGTTACTGAAAAATGAAGAGTAGAGATGTAGAGTACACTATGATCTGTTCACTGGGGGGGGGGGGGGGGAGTATCTTGAAGAACCAGTTAGTACACATACTCTAGTCTTTTCTCTTTTTCAAGTATGCACCTGTTTGAATCCCAGAAAATAATTTCTGGGATGGTGACATCAAATGAGTTTTCAGCTCCTTCATTCAAGCAATAATTGAAATAATGTTTCTACAAATCCAACATCTGATCTAGGCACCATATAAAAATGATATGCAGCAAAAATCAGTTACTCCACAGTCACACTCCAGGTAGAGTGTTTTGGTATTGTGACAGAGGGAGAACCTGGTTAGAAATTTGTCAGCAAGTCAGATGTAAACATTTTGTGACTGATTTACAGATTCTTAATGAGAAGACAGCCTTTCAATGAACTAGTGATGGCTAGGAAAAAAAGAGAGGAAGAAAAGGAAAAAATAATTTTTGAATGTCTATGTTAACCTTCCATCAGAATCAGAGCAACATTATGCCTCTTCAATTAGTAAATACAGTTTTGATAAGACTGCCAAAAAAAAAAAAAAACCAAAACCAATCCCCACTTTTCATATTGTTGTTGCTGTCCTTCCTGACAAACAAATCTACCACAGGTGCTTTCCACTGCCAGAATTTGGGTTTTCTAATAGACTTTTAAAATGATGTTGCAAACAAGCACAAGAAACCTTACAAGGAGCTCTGCAGAACAAAAAACAACTCATCAGCAGCCAATTTAGTGAATATCAGACTCAAGACATTTATAGCTTCAGGTGATGCTAACATCATCTTTTCCCACCTGCTGTTGTTTAGATCAGTCATTCCAGACTGAACCTTAAGTGGCTGCTAACACGAGCAAGAAACCTCCTTCTGTACACTTACATGATTTAATAAAAAAACCAAGCTACTAAGAGACAAAGCAGCTATTTACTCAATGACCTAGCTGATCTGTAAATAACAAGTACATAGTTCCCCGCTACATTAGGTGAAGTAGAAGGTTTAATTACCAGAGGCCTACAGGCACATGTGGGTATATGACTCAGAAGTCTGTAACATTGGCACCCGTATTCTGGAAAGCCTGAACATGACATTATGAAGAACAGGACTTGAGAAGAGCTTTAATTTTCCCTGAAAGACTATCAATTTTCCATCCAAAGCACTATCAGTCATACATACAATATGTCTGAGAGAAGAATATCTAACCTCTTTTGAAACACTTGCAACCATGCATGAAGACAGATACCAGTTTTACCCTTTCCTAGTCTTCTGCAGCCTCCTCTATCTTCTGTGAGCTTTAAAAAGATTGTCACTGGTAGTTTTCTGATTGGGTCTTGAATTTACTTCTAAAGAATTAGAAATTCTGTGTTCAGAGAGCAGGCACCTGGTTTCCCCATCTTAAAAGGAAGCTTTAGTCTCGCACCTCAACACATGGAAGTTCTTACGAAAATAAATCAAAGACTTTTGGTCTGAAGAATCTTTGAAACTAAACGCACCTACTCTGGCTATTAGTGAAATGTGGAAGAGGAGATAATCATTGTCCTGGTTTCAGCTGGGATAGAGTTAATTTTATTCCTAGTAGCTGGTACAGTGCTGTGTTTTGGATTTAGGATGAGAATAATGTTGATAACACACCGATGTTTTAGTTGTTGCTAAGTAGTGCTTACACTAAGTCAAGGACTTTTCAGCTTCTCGTGCTCTACCGACTGAGAAGGCTGGAGGTGCACAAGAAGCTGGGAGGGGGCACAGCCAGGACAGCTGACCCAAACTGGCCAAAGGGACATTCCATACCATGTGATGTCATGCTCAGTACATAAACTGGGGGAAGGCTGGCCAGGGGGGCCGCTGCTTGGGGACTGGCTGGGCATCGGTCGGCAGGTGGTGAGTAATTGCATCATGCATCACTTGCTTTGTATATTCTTTTACCATTATTATTATCTTATTTCCATTATTAAACTGTTTTTATCTCAACCCACGAGTTTTCTCACTTTTACTCTTCTGATTCTCTCCCCCATCCCACCTAGGGGGGGTGGGGGGTGGGGTGTGAGCAAGCAGCTGTGTGGTGCTCAGTTGCCGGCTGGGGTTAAACCATGACAATCATTTATGCCAAAGGTGCCGACCAGGGTTTGAGTGGGGAATTGTTTAAGAAGATCTGCTCAGAAAAAAAATGACAGTAGCTCACGGTAATTTACACAGTAAGTCATGTATCATTCTAAAGGATTCCAGAAGCTCAGTCTGGGATAAAACATAGCAGTATAGAGGATCATCAAACACCTTTTTTAGTAACAGAGAACTCACAGTGTCTGCCATCTCTTTTGGTACAAAAAACAACACAGCATAAATGAGTATCTTTAAAAATGCACGGCTGAGGTTTCTTTTAAGGTGTTTCAACAGGGACCTATTGAAATCAACAACTGACATACTCAAATTAAAATCCAGAGTACTTCAGGAAGGGCTTGTTCTCCTAAAAGAACAAAAATGAATATGTAATCTTAGTTAAAAGAAAGACAATGGCTTTGTGATTTCGAAAATGTCTGTTCTCAAGTAACATAAGGTGTTCTGAGCATAACTGAACTTATACTTGGTCACACAATGTTCAGTATATTCTAATGGAAAAATACAAAGCAGCATTACGAGTTCTAAAATAGCTTGAGGAAAACAGGTAATTAGAGAAGCTCATTAACGAAACAAAATTTAAGAACCTCTTTGCTGTAACCTTTAATCGGTGAAAATGATTCATTTATTCTTTTTTCATAGCACATTCAGATAATGAAAAAATAGCAGCTTTATTTCCAGTAAAACGCTAGGTAAAATGTTTTCTACATTACTTACCTGTTTTCATTTCTAACAAGCGCTTTTTCTTTTGTTGCCTCTCTTGTTTTTCTTTTTCCGCTTTCTCCTTAGCTATTTTAGCACGCCTCTGTTTTTCTTCTGCTTCCCTTCTTCTCATATTCTCCTTTACTGCTTGCTATGAAAAAAAAATAGAGTTCCATTAAAACTGAAGTCTTAGCAAAAACAAAAGCTGAACCTTAAAAACAAATAAAAAAGCTTTAAAATCACATCTCCTAACTAACGTTAATTTATCAAGCCAAATAAATATTTTACATTCCATATTTAGTACATTTTATTCAGAAAAGTAAGCAAATTCAGAATAAATACATTAAAAGCATACTAATTGGCCCCAAATGGGGATTATAAATTCAGCAAGAAATAAGTCTTAAGAATCCACACGTTAATGTAGGAAGAACTCAAAATATCTAAACCACCTGGTTTTACAAAACTGTAAGTATGTTACTATTTGTATTTCTAGAATAGTTTCAATATTTATTCTTTCTCATGCTGCCACTATACCAAGCAAAACAAGGCTGCTTGGGTGACTTAGCTGTGCATTTTTCTTATTCTTATCCGCATATGCATTAATTCACTGGGTTTATAAATTCTTGCCTTCTGGTTAATACCTCTACAACATTGTTTATTTTGAATTATAAATAAGTACTCCAAAGCTTCCAATGAGCCAAACCAGAACTATGAGTTTCAGAGTTTTTAAGTCATTATTTTGCACATTCAGACATTAAACAAAAAACCTGTGTGATTTTTCAGCACTAGATTTAGAAGTCTTTTGAGCTAAGTTTTCTAGGATGCCAACCACCTTCACTTTCTGTCAGTACTCAAGACCAATGCTAAACAATTCTGAAAATCATACCTCAGATGTCTCACGCTAGGCATCTCAAAAATCTTTTCCAAAGAGTCTTAAAACTGAGCAGCTACTCAATATTTTGTTTAGTGTCATTGAATGATAAAGGGTTTCATGTCTTATCTACACACCTTTTTCATATAGCCTTCAAACTGTGCTCTGCAAGACAGAATTATTAATTTTCCTCAAGGTTTCTTCTATCATGCTCATCAATAATATCTAACTGTTTCGAAGCATTAATTAATCTATCTTTATAACACTGCTGTGAAGCAGCGGTTAGTATCAGTGCTAATTTTACAGACACAGAAAAGAAATATGGGGAAATTAAGGTAAAGCACAACCACTTCTTTGAGTCTCCAATTCAAGATGAACCTAAGCATTTAGAATTCTTGTTCTGCAGCACTTAAATGGGAAGTGTGGTTTAAATATCAGAAATTAAAGTAACACAACTATTTCATAGTATTTAGCAATTTTGAAATCAGACTCCCGAGTTTCAAATTAGGCACTGATTTGAAACATTAAGGTAGGAAAACTTAATCAATGCCCATGTTGAAAAATCTGGCATATGTAACTTGCCAGGCAAAATTATGCTGATTGAAGACTGTGCCTTCTAGCTTTTTAGCTATTAAACTCTGAAGTAGCAGAGGCTTGGTAATCTTTACATGTTCCAATATGTTTGCTAAATATGGGTTCCATTTTAAGTCCTTTCCTCAAAACAGATGGACATAGGAATTTCAAAGCCTTTCTCAATATCTAAGAAAGAAGTATTTTTCCCTAGCTACACCCTCAGACATGTCTGAAATCATTAAAAAAAAAAAACAACCAACCAAGCAAAACCAAACAAGACTGGGAAACATGCAAGCAACTTAAATAAGTGTGTTGTAACGGTAAGCGTCAGGCTGCAATGAGGAGTAGATGGTAAAATGACTAATTGAATCTTTCTACAGTTCAATAGGCATGAGTTGGATCACTGCTCCAGACTTTGTCACAAAGCTCATGCTCAGATAACATTCCTGCAGGAGCGTAGCCAGTAAGTTAAGCTATGTAATCATAGGTAGCCAGATGTGACACGAGTCACCTTTCCAAGTTATCCAAATTAATAAATTCATACACAGTTGGGGACCTGCCTTTTTATTCTTCCATTTCTTCCTTGAGAAAGAGTTGCTTACCAGCCAAGTGTTCAGAATCCAAGAGAAAAAAATATTGTTGCAAAGAAAGCTTAAAAAAAACAACCAAAACCAACCACAACCTCCACACAAAATCAGCAAGCTCTCCCTGCACTCCTAACTTTACCAATCTGAACATAGTTATAAATCACCAAGATAGCAATCCCCACTAATCCTAAATAAGAGCTCTATAAAAATATTTTGAACTTATATAGCCATCAGCTTTCCCAAAGTTATTTGGTTATTTTAAATTGAGGGATATACCAGTATTGAGTATGTATTCTGAAGTATATCATCAAGTTAATCATCCTTTTTCCAGAACTACATTGACAACAGTGAAAGGACCTGCAATATTTTGGAGAACATCTTATTATCCTGAAATTTGCCAAGACGACTGGTTATAGTCATATATAATCAGCTCCAAACATATAAAGAAATACCCTGGTGAGAAATTTCTACCTCACTTTTCAGAAAGGTCTTTTGTTAAAACTCTTAAATCACATTTTGGTAGAATTAAAAAAAAAAAAAAAAAACAACCCCCCCAAAACAAAACAAAAATTATTAAAATTTGTAAGCATAATGAAAATGCATTTGGACTCAAAAAATACCTGAAGAAAAATAAAATTAGATTTCCAAAATAGCTCAAGCTTTTATGATGACCTAGTATGTGCAAATGTTTGTATACATAATGCAGATGCTGCCCTGTGATACAAGGACAGAGCTAACCTCCACATCTATGACTATTTTAGATGACTCTAAGGCAAAGCTCTGCTAACTAACAGTGGGTCTGAATTATGCTTATAACTCTGTTCTGAGCTCTATACAAAAAGCAGCTACCCAACAATAACCTGGATCAGTCTAATGTCTGTTTCTCAAATATAATTCAAATATTTATAATAATAATAAAATAACCATTTTTAGCTCCTCCCCCCAAAGATCATCCTTTTTTAAAAGGAAAAGTAAGCAAGCATTTAAAATGCATAAAACTCAAAATCTTAGGCAACCTATTGTAACAAAAATTAAAGGTCCTTAGAAACAGACCGAGTTTGAGGAAAAGATGCTATTTTTTTAAGCCAGGATAAGGAGCTCTGAGTTTCCATAGCAGGGAACCTGCTTACAGACGCAAACCTTGACACTGATCAAGTGCCGCAGGCAAATGAAAAATTAAACGAAATAAAATCTTGGGTCAGGATTTTGCATGGGAAGAGCATGCATTATAAATAAAGAATTAATTTATATTAATTTATTTAAATTACCCTTCCTCCCCGATGAGAGCAAGAGAAGTCTGGGGGTGGTCACTTGGTGCGGTTACATTGCATGGTGTCCCCCCCTCACATTGTTAGAATATTTATTTTTGAGTAAATAACAAGCATCCTTTAAACAGAAAATGCAGTTGTATTTAAAAAAGGTAGAATTTCAGATTTTTCACCTTCAGGTTATACAGGCATATAAGAGGCTCAGTTTTAAATTACATTCATTGTTATTAGGAATTTTCAATTCTTTCAGAAAGAAATAATGCACAAATATTAATTCAAAACTCTGTTATCCTTAGGATATCCTAAGAACTTGGGATGTGCAAAGTAAAATTTCTGATATGAGTACCAGACACCATCTGAGGAGTTAGAAAATTATTTTTAGTTTGTTCAGTAACTGAAAGATTACAAAAAAAATTTTGGAAACATTAGGCATTAAACAAACAGATTGTACCATGAACATCGTCCTGAAGTTGTTTAAGTCCGTTAAAAACTCCTCCACTGAAATTTTCTTCAGATCAATGGCATAATATCCCATCACGTTCTGATAGAGTTTTTCCATGTTCTCATGCATCCGTGAAAGTTTCTGAAAATCTTCTCTGGCATGAACTAGAAAGCTGTACACTGCTGTTAAGGCTGCAAAAATACTCAGTAAATCCAGTCAAACCCACAGTTTTTACTTAACATTGATCTGTATTTCATACACATTTTTCATTTGCATCAAATGAAGTATCAAAAGAATTCCTTCCATGTCACATATCCTTCCTAGTATTTACTGTGTATATTAGGCCTATGAATATATCAGGGTGCTTTCATCAAATTTTCTCAGCCACTTTAAATTTAAAGATTATTCCATTAGCATATAATTTTGTATAAAATGAAATGTATGGGACTAATCTAATTTCAAGCACCTATGTAGTATATTTTGCATCACTGTCTCCTTACTGAAGCTAAAGGTTTAGGTATATAAATTACAATTTATATGGAATTTATTTACAGATACCAATAACTAACCTGAATAATATATCAAGAAATAGTAGAGTTCCTACTAAAATTAGAGTAAAAATAGAAATATTACTAAACAACAGTATTGAAAGTAAAAAACATGAAAGATTAAAAACTTCATCTTAACTGCTTTTTTAAAAATGCTGTTGTAGCAACAGCAATGCATTCATTTCTATTCCTGGTGGCTGCGTCACATATTTATGCTTTTTCTAAGGCTATTTGCGATGTCAATACAACTTAATGAAATTAGAGGTGAAAACAATAGAACTACTTCTCCAAGAGACAATTTATAAACAGCACCAAATTACTGTGTAACATAAATGAAATAAAAAAACCCCTATGTTTATTCAAGAATTTTGGTAATATCGTTTGTCAAAGAAGCTCAAAGAAGAAATATTATGTGTAGTCATTTCCTTATGTAGGACAACTCCATAAAGTGTTTACTTAAATGGAATGGTACCTAAACAAATATTTATGTTCCATTATTTTTCTGCTGCAGGGAAGACTACAAAAGATAAGAAATGACAATTTTACCTTTACTCCCAATTGCCCATCCCAACTATTGCAAAAGAGAATTTACTGTATTTCTATGCTTCTATGGTCACTTTATTTTATGAAACACAGGATTTTTGATCAAGTGCATTAAAATGTAGACAAATAGAATTTTTGTCCACCATGCTGTTTTAAATACACAGTAACAATTTACTGCTGGGTGAGTGCTTTCACCCTTCAGGGTTTTTGCAATGCACTCTTCTTTTAGTTTTGTTTAGAGGCTGAATCCCATTTGAATTTCACTATCAAATGTCCTTCTGGTTTGTTAACCTTGCTTTTAAAATACCAAGTAAGCAGTTAATGGTTTTCTTTTTGTGATTTAGAATCCATGCCAGAAAATCATACAATAATGTCCTCAGACACATCCAGGAAAGGAGAAATAATGCACTTTCACAACATTCAAATTAGTCACTATGAGGGCTATTAGCTGGGTCTGTGAGGGCAGAACAGTCTCCACTAAGTCAGTCTTGTAGAAAAGGACTAACAAAGCCTAGATATCGATGATTTTTAATGATACATCTTCCATCACCTCCCAACCACTTGATTTCAGACGTTATCTTCCTCTGACAAGGCTCCTTAGCCAGTATGAGCTTCTTTCCATGTTTCTATTGACTTCACAAGATGCAGCTCGTGAGCAGCTTCAGACTGCCTGTGCTGGCTAGCAACAGCCCAAAGAGAATGGATGCTGCTGGCCCACTATTTCTTGCATGTCAGTTTGAATCTCTCTCCTCTACTTAGCTCCCAAGATGCACAAAGCTTACAGGAAGCTACCCTTCAGAGTTGCGTTTATTTAAAATTATTAAGGACGTTAAAAAGCTATTGGTGGGACAGTGAGAAAAGTTGATGAGAGGCTAGTATGTAACAGCTGCCCAAATATTAAATAAAAAAAGGATAATGAGAAGCAAGACGTGACAAAACACAAGTTAGGACCATCAAAAGACATGTCAGCAGTTCAAAAAAACCCAAACAAACCAAAACAACAAAAAACTGTAATAAAGGAAAATAGTTTCACTCAGCATTAATTTTACTAGAAACAAGCATTTCTACATCCTGTTTATTTTTGATCCTACAATTTAGGATACTTATTATTTGTGATTCTTAGATCGTTAGCAGAACTTAGGGAAAACTACACTATTTTTTGCAATTATGAGGCTGTATATCTCCACAGAGTGGAAGGGTAAAGGAAAATTAGATAAATTTGTTTTGTTGTCACTATGTATAAATGTCATACATCAAACATTCCAGTAACTTTCTTCAGTTTTCTAGGAAGGAAAACACCTGAGAAAAAAAAAGTTAAATTTATCAATGAATGATATGCCAGAGTATATCCTGAAAAGGAAACTTTTCAGGAGGTGAGAGATGAAATTTCTGTGATATTCTGCAAGACATAGCGAAAGTTCCGGCTATGTTAATAGAGTCCATATAGGCTGCTTAGTTTATACTGTTAAAACTGACTCCTCTTGAGTATGTGATGCACAATTTTGAACTCAAAATACAGCCCTCTGGAAAGATGTTTTACTATCCAGTATTTCAATGCCAGACACAATGAATCCTGAGATTTTTATTTTCCATCTGGTGCATTATGGGATACCCTAAGCTCTTGGCATTCTACTGAGACTGTGCTTCAATTTAGGTATTTTTAATAAGTCCCCTTCCTTTTTTCCTTAAACATGGCTTTTGTTAGCCAGCACTAGCTGAACTGGAAACAACAGGGAATACTACTGAGTATAGCAATCCCAACTGTAATTATTATGAACAGGTTGATATAGATGCATTATCAGCTACACAATTCATTGGCTTTGGATGAATGAAGACAGAAATACAACAGAGCTGCAACACAGGTGGGAGGAAAAGGAAATCAAGAAGTTAGGTATCTGTTAACTTTTTCTGAAGTGGCTTTACTTCACGGACTGCCTTTTTGGACTCGTGGGACTACAGATCATCATTCTGCTCATTAATGGAACAGGAAAGCAACACAGGGCTGAGACAAGTAATATCTGTGGCAAAATTTCTAACTGCTGTGTGTTTGGTCTTGCATATTCATGGCAGCTCTTTTCATAGTGAACTGCTTGTCTGAAGTTTACACTGATTTTAATATATTGTGCTATATATAATACTAAAGTAGTGCAGGGTATCAAGCCAAGTGAAAGCAGCTGTTAACCTAAAGCAGATAATGAACGATGTTAATCTGTACCAAAAATTTCCTTTAAAGACCCCATATTCACTGCTTATGATTTTTTCACAAGCTAACCTACGTATTAAGATAATCCAAAAAAGGAATATGATTCTGCATAAGAACAAAAGATTAATAGGTGCACAGATGCTGCCTATACTTTAGCAGAATATTCAAAATGAAACTGAGACTGCCACTACACTAGCCAGCAACAGCCTCCATAAAAACAAGGCAAACTTTTCAAAGACTGGTGCAAAAAGACTTTGAGATCACTTCAAACCAGAATTTCAACAAATTATTTTCTTCTAAGGCCAAAGGGTGTGAATGTTGTAAGGCTCTGTTGAGGACTTCCCACATCAAGTTCTTGGGAAAATAGTTGCAATTGTCTGAAAAATACGTGTCATAGAGACTTCCTTTTATATACATATAGAAGGTTCAACAATAAAATTCCGTATCTGAATATAATAGTTCAAGAAACACATAGAAATGTTTAGATTTTTAAATTAGTACCTTCTGGAGAGTATTTGTCAAATAATACCTTTTCTTTAACTCACTCACTCCTACTTGTTTCTATGTTATAATACTTAAACAAATTGACATGGATTTGTATCACACAGAGCTGCTGCATCCAGTGTGTGCATCCCATATATTATGAGCAAAACCAGTGCTAGCTGTAATACACACCTGAAGTCCAGACCAGATATTGAAGACCTGTATAAAGGAATTATATACTTAAGTTAAATTTACATTGTTTGCCAAAGCCCTATCTCATTACCTGTCCACACAGTCTACATCCTGACCCTCTCCCAAAGAGGAATGTACAGTCTTCTTTCACCTAACGAGCTCCGGTCCTGTAATCTTCCAAAGTCCTTAGGATGCTAGATCTTACAGGCTTCAGTTTCTTTATGTTGCACAGAAGGAAGTTCAAACTATGAGGCTGATTAAGTAACTGACAGTTCAGAGACAGCATGTAGTTTCTTCCTTGCAGATGAAATGGGTTTCTTCTACCTCACTTCAATCAGGCTCTGACCTGGGTAAGTGCTGTTCCTTCCTTCCCTTTTCGCAGTGTCAACAAATTAACTTAAATGACAAGGAAAGAGGAATAGAGAACTGATCAAAAAGAAAAGGACTCCGTTCCTAGCTGAAAGGCAGCAACCAACTCATTGTCTCTCAAGTATTAGTTCCATAAGATTCTGTGAAAATCGCCATCAACACTATGTTCAGTGGCAGGCTGAAACTTGTCAAGAGTTTCTCGGCTGCTACTTAGAAAATCATGAGGTGCAAGCGGGACTGATAAAGAGCATGTTGACTAAATCACTTAATTAAGCTTTTAATATGCCATTTAAATACTCTCCATAAACCTACTAAATTTTTATTTTGAACGTACAAGTGTATTTTGTTCACTGTGCTTTTTATTGAACATTTCACTCAATGGTTTTAATATTAAAGATTCAATATTCTTTGACTTTCCTAATTAAAGCAAACAGAAGAACTGCAATAATAACTATAATTTCTTTTCAGCTAGTATACATAAGATGACTGACAAACTAGCACAACCTAATATATAGGAGAAATGTTCATAATTATAGACGTTGTCAATAAAAGAGTGCACCAACTGTGCACATATCTGACTTCCTAAAGAAACAAGAATGCTAATCAGTTCATTAGGGGCCTTTGGGTTGTGATATTTAGAGACAGGATGTAATAGCCTGCTTGTCCACGGAGCCTAATTGTACTCAAGATGAAAATTTATTTCCAACAAAGCACCATCCTTCCTTTTTCAGATTTCCTGCTGGTTTCTTTTTATGAGCTGCATGCCTTCCAAGACATCAGCATCATTCAGCTTTCCTTGTCATAGGAATAAAAATAAAGACAGGTCCAGGCTTCATCATGCTGTGCAGGATTATCTAACCTTTACATCAAACCTTTTTTGCTTCGTAATTTATTGAAGCTCCTGTTTTTCTAAAAGTGAGCTTCTTTAATTAGCATGTTCACAGACATTACTAGAAACCATATGCAACTTTACTGTTTTGAAATTACTGCCTGTCTGCTGGGAGCGGAAGTAGGTGAGGGCAAACTATTCCTGTTCGTAATATTTACTGTTCAAAATACTGTATTTGAATAGACTAATACAATGAAATATGTAGCATGGCTGGTTTTACCTGTACTGATTTATTCCGAGTAAGACCAAATATTCATCTCACCTGTTTCTGACAGCAGACAATACCCAATGATTAGGGAAAACAAGAAGGAAACTTGGTAAGTATAGCATGACAATTCAACCGACGTAGTATTTAGTTTCTAACGGTCTGCACGCTAGTGATTTTTCTGAGCTAAAGCTACCTCTGGACTACTGCGTTTAATAGCTCCAGACGTACTACCTTTAGCTGACTACCTAAGCCTTATATGAAATGCATCTACATTTACAGCCTCTACAACATCCTAAAAGTAAATGCTACAGTTTAATTGTTTGTTTTGTAAGAAAACATTTCTGTTATTATGTTTTAACCTGCTGGACAGTATTTTACATGAGATGAACCCTGGTTATTTATAAGACACAATGAATAAGTTCATAACTTTCCTCCTGTATGGAATAAAAAAATTACAAGTATTTTTACTATGTTTTCCTAACTTTTTTGATTTTCCACCTTCAGAGTCCTAATTTATTAAAACATCCCTGATGCAGAAACTGTTGCATATTGCTGATCATTGTCACCATTCTCTGCTACATCAGTAGCTATACAGTATACTTTTTGATATGGGGTGATGGAAGCACTCAAGATATGAGAGTATTACTGGGTTTTATAGCAACTTATTTATGTTTTCTGCTTGCTCGTAACTACAATTGTTCTCAATTATTCTAATATAATGTTTTTCCTCCAGATCTATTACTCTACAATTATTGAAGTTCACTTGCTCTTTTGTCAGCATCTGCCAGTATCTCCCTTTTGACGTGAGGTTTTTGGGGGTTTTTTCTTTAGATATTAATCCAGAAAAAATAATCATTCCACTTTTGACTTAAGAAATTTCTCTCCTTGGAAGTCTTTGTTAATACATCTTGTTGAAAGGTGCACGGAAATTCAGTTATGCTCTACCGACTGTCCTATCTTTATCTGAATGCTGTAATAGATCTGCAAGAGATGGTTTCTCTTTACAAAACCCATGCTGACTCTCCCCCATCATATTATATCTCCCATATATACATGTCGGTTCTGTTTTTATTTAGTCTTCATCAGTTTTCTTGGTGGAGAAGCCAGACTTGCAGATCTTCCTTGTAGCCCTTTTAAAAAACTCAGGTGCTTCTATTCAGCTTTGATTCCTCTGGTGTCTTGAGAAAACTTAGTTCATGCAAGAATCTGTAGTCCAATAGGTTTATATTTGAGTTCATTTTAAAATATTTTCAAGTCTTTTGTGACCACTAGTTACTCCTGGGGATTTATTGCTATTTATTTTATATTTTCCTTTAAAAAAACCTTCTACTGACTCCTTCATTTGAGAACATCCTTCCATTCAAAATATTGCATGGTGGGGTCAACTGAAGTTCACCCTAGAGAAAACTGATGCAAGGAACAAATTTACTTTTACGGCTATGGCTTATCTTCTTGGCACACATTGACAATCTACGTCTTCTCTGGCAGGATTACAGTTTTTGAGATGCTTGAAAAAGATGATGTATAGATCCTCCTTTGCATTTCCTAAGATGATCACTATCTTTTTTAAGCGATCAGTAGACTGTTATAATGCTCTTTGTATATGGGGATGGAATTTCAACCCCTAGAAAAGTTATGGTATTTATTGACAAGGTCCGCCTATTTACCCTATCTGACTTTTATTATATTTTAACTTTTCACACTATTTCTCTACAATTGTGACTTAGTCTGTCTTAAATACAATTTATAACCTTATATCACAGTATTCCACTCACTTCCTGCCATCAAGTTTCAGAAATGCCCAACATGTCAGTAACACAAAGGGAAATGAGGCATCCTACATAATAATTTTTTTTATTTTAGATGTTTGATATTAGCATAGAAGTACATATTTATTCCTCAACTTACTTTTCCTGTGCTCTCCTTCTTAAGTGAAGTTAATTTTTTCAGGGTATTTTTCACTCATTCTCAACTGAATTTTGCTAATTTGCTTCATATCTGTTTTATAGGTATGGAAATTTTATAAACACATCTCCAAAGAAAGCTGTACACTAAATTATCTGTTACTTCAATCCCTAGTCCTCAGCTTAAAAACGCAAAAGGTTGTAGGGTATTTTAAGCGCCAGCATCATGACTACTTTGGATTAGATGATTGTTTTAGGCCCCTTCCAACTGAAATAGTCTATTCTATTCTATTCTAATGGATTAAGATTTATCTGTCCTTTTTCACAGGTTAGATTTCTTAAAAAGTGCTTCCCATTCCTAACTTCCTAGACTACACATATTTTCTTAACCAAGCACAGACTTTGCATAATCCTAGCAATATCTCTGAGAAAGCTATCATGGATATATTTTCCTCTAACTTCCTAGCAGTAGTTTATCTCTTGCCTTCAGGACCCCTCTCCTAGTTCTCCTACTATGCTATTGGCTTCTTCAGGGACAAACCTTATGTTTCGTACTATAGAGACATCATGCTGGTGGGTTGCAACGTATCTCTCAAACACACATTGAGCTGGAAAAAAAAGCCAGCAACAACAACAAACAGAACAACCTCACCAACAAAATACCCGATCTTACAAAAAAATTAGTAGCAACACTGAAAGGTTACAGATAACACATAGAGTCCAGAGAAGGCCTAAAGCTAAGTTGTAAACTCTTTGGTTGCAGCTAGTCTACTGAAGAGGAAATTGGCCCTAACACAGCAAGAACTAGTATATCCACTTGGCCCCAGGGGCCCTTGCCATCTTTTCTTTAATAGTATGAGATTAATCAAGAGGACTGCTTCCTGCGTCCCCCTGCCTTTGTACAAAACAAAGTGGTCTTCCAGCTAGGTAATAACCTAACCGTGCCTGCAGAGGAAATTTCAGCCTGTCTCTCTATCTGCTGATATTTCTGCTTCCGGATCAGTCTCGGTGCCAAGCATATAAGACCATCATCTGGTAGGGAGGTCTAAGTGAAAGAATGTTTTTTCTCTGCTTTATTTAAGTATCTTCATGTCACAAGGCTTTCTTATGAGAGACACAGGCAGTAAAGTTGGCTGCAGGGTTTGAAATAAATAGCGAGAAAAGGAATTTTGGCAAAAATAAGACCAGAAACCAGTTTTCACATGCTATGAATCTCATTTCTGAAATAAGAGAAATTTTTTGGTTCTGCGGTTGCATGTACAAAAACGTTCACAGTGGTAATGCATACACTAGAAAACAAATAAACACAGGGTGACAGACATCTTTTTCTAAGATATTCTCACGTAAAAAATCATTTAACACTAAAGTGAAGTGCTTAACATTCCTATTGTAACTACTTTTCACTAAGTTAAGAAACTTATACACAGTGTAAAACCTGACAGTAAGCATTTTTCTCCTCATTCTATCCACTACGGATGAATCCTTTAATTGGATTGTTCATGTATTTAGTTTTTGAGGGGAAAAAAAGAGAGTTATATTTTTCAAAAATGAATGCTACAGACTAGACAGAAGTTATGCAAAGAAATTTAAAGTTTAAGGTAATGCAGTTAAATTACTTCTGGTTTTTTTGTTTTTTTTTTTAAAGAATACTCCAAAGGATATTGACATTTTTGCTACAAACTTATCGTGCTTATCTTCAGGAACTGGAAAAGTCTGCAAATCCTTCTCGAGCTGTTGGAGTTGCCTCTCCATATGCTTCAGGCTCTTCTCCAGGTTTTCTGCCGAGACTAAAATACAGAACATTCATTCTGCTAACATCTTAAACAAGAAACATTGTTTGTAAAATACATGAGTTAAAACCTTACCCAAATCAGCATATTACGTTTTTAATTCTGAAATAAAAGCACAGTGAACAAATTACAATACAAGATGAGGGGGTCACTCTACAATGTTCAGTTCCCCTCACTTATGTGTTTGCCTTATTCTGATTAGACTGCATCTTGTTTTATTTTTATGCCTAAGGTTTTGCACTGCAATTAACAGTCTGTTTTAAATAACCTGAGATACACATATGCCAGTCTGGCTCTTCTGATTAACGAAAGGACAAGTTTTGAAGCTCCTCCAAGAACCACAAAGCTTTTTTCAATCTCATTCTATTAAAACAGAACATACGAACATTTGTATGGAAGATCATGAAGAAAATAAGACCTTCAAAACAGAGGAAATGGGGCTATTAAACACCTACACATGAAACCTGAGACTTGATTCCCTAGTTTCAAAGCACAATACCTGGTAAAAAACACAACAGAATTTGTCAGAACAAAAGTACTTGCCAAGGTGGAGGGAAGTGCAAGCACTTGAGAGGGTGCAGCAGAGCAAAACAGGGATTTAGGAAAAAGAAGAGAGTAGACATGAAACACCAGGGATTTCTAGAAGGATGTAGAAAAAGTGCATATTTTCTTTATCAGAAAGAGAGAAATACAACTTTCATTCATTTGAAGCAATGCATGGAAGTTGAACACTTGATCTGTAAATAGTTTAATAAAAATATCAAGATGATAAGAGTAACCTGAGGATAACTCCTGCTAGCATGTATTCTATCCTGGATTTATATTATTGGAATCAGTTAAAACTTATTTCCTGATTGTTTATGAAGTAAACTTAACATTTAAGTATGTTCCGTAGGAACAATATATATAGATAAGAATATACTCTGAATTTTAGTCTAATGACTTGATTTCTCCCCCCCCCCCCCTTTATTTATTTCATTCATAATATACTGTGCCTATAAAGGTAAAGCTACCTTAAACTTAAGCATCTAAAAACATCTAAAAAATCCCTGGAGAAATTTTGTGGCCCTATGGTGTTACTAGGATCTGTAGTGGATCCATTATTTCAGCCACTGAGTAGAATTATGTGATGGAAAATATAAGATACACACACTGAACATATCTTTCTCTCATAAAAGCCTTACAGAGTCCCCAGACAACTAAAGTAAAATGTTGCATAGCAACTACAATCCCATTCATAGCAGAAAGGTTAACACAACTATAAAATGATCAATGGCAACCTGTTAAAATGCTAATGTAACCTAAAAAAAAAAAAAAAAAACCCCCAAAAAATAAAAGTAAAATGTTGCATAGCAACTATACAATCCCATTCATAGCAGAAAGGTTAACACAACTATAAAATGATCAATGGCAACCTGTTAAAATGCTAATGTAACCTAAAAAAAAAAAAAAAACACCCACAAAATTTGGAGACGATATTTTTTTCTAAAAAGAATAGGGGAATATAAATGTATGTTCATATTATAATTTATACTTTATCATTTGGTTTATAGTCACAATTTTTAAAACCCTCTGTTTACTCAAAAACACTACCATTTTCCAATTGTATGTTAGACTTGGCAGACTTTCACTCAGAGATTGGTAACCCCAGATCATCACCAGGTAGGTCAGTTGGCTTCAGTAGTTAAGAAACTGCCTTGTTTGGGAAGCAGAGCTAAAATTAGAAGCTGACAATGTTGACTACAGATGTATTTCAGTCTTCACAGGTTCCAGAAACAAACCTGATTTTAATATAAAGTCATACTTCTGCTGTCATAAGAAGCCTTTGAGGGTAGGCACACACACAATTTTAAGACACTGATTTACTTAGAAAGCTGCTAAGAAACACAGAATATACCACCTTGTGCTTAATATAACTATCAATAGAACTCTTCACAATACAGTTCGTCTTGCATAAAAAGAGTTCACAGTATAAAATTAAAGTGACATACTTACAAAATGTCAGAATGACGAGACTTAGCAAGTACACAGGTTTTAAAACAAAACAAAAAAACAAAAAAAAACCCCAACCCACCAGCTGCTACCTCTACATCAATTGCAGGTAGCAGCTGAGTAATAGCTACATTCTTTTACCCAGATAAAAAAGAACAACAAACCTCAGTGCCTAGAGCTGATTAACAGGTTGTATACAAGAGATTTTTGAATTCTTGCTTCCGGCAAAGCTAAATTTTTATTTCTATTACCTCAGTTCTTTTGAGCTTGAACAGTTACATATTTGATCAAGAACCTTTACATCTCTATCTTGTTCTGAAGGTTTTTTTCTTCATCTGTCATGATGTTAAATTGTTCCTGAATATAAAAATTCAGCATTCCTTTGATTTCAGCAGTGCACAACTATTGGAAATATTTTCCTTTAAGACTATATTTCTGGTGACAGCCTCAAGCGGAGGCTAGCTCACAGTGTGCTGGTATTCGTTTGGTGCTATTGTCTTTGCAACTTCCAATTCAGTGAAAACAGATGAAAAAAAAATCAAATCTGTAAATATAAGCAGCTCTTCAACAAAAAGCTCACATGAAATACCTGCCAACCTTCCCTCGTGCCCTTCTAGAAGACATGGTATAAAATCTGAAGGGACATAGGAAGAATGGCAGAAGAGAAAAAAAAAAAACCCAAACCTAACTTTGACCCCTAATCCTGGGAGGTTTCAGATATAAACCCAAGCCAAATTGAAGTAAGCAACTCATATGATAGTTTGGAAACAAAGTCAAAGACTGGGGTTTTGAATGTTAGTGAGCCCGCAAAACCAAGTTGTTTGTTGAATACAATGCATGTGTGCCTGAACACTTTCTCACTTATATCTTCTGAACTCTCATACCTCTTTTTCAAAAAGGCTCCTGATATTTTTATAGGCAATAATTAGATTTCCTCACCTTCTGCCTTTCAAGGTTAAAACAACTTTGTTCTTAAAGTTTCCTCTCTTGATTCAGGTTTTCTAATACCATGATTATTCCAAAAGCCTCTTCACCTGCTTCTGTTTTAAAACCTTTCTGCATAGTATTTCAGGTGATGATTCACCAGTCCTTTTAATGTTTGCATTACTATTTCTACAGTTTTACTGGAAATACATTATCTGATTATCTTATGATAAAATACCCTCTTTTCTTGACCAAACCTCTTATTACAGTATCAAAATGCATGATCTTGTACTTCATAGTATTGTTTTTCATTTCTTTTACTCTGCTTCCTCAGGATCATTCACTGGTGACAACCCGATCCTCCTCTCAGCTGGCAAAGCTGTCTAACCCTTTGTCAGATACGCTCATTGGTTCAATACCACAATTTTATCTTTTTGCCATATTCCTTTTAGACAGTACTTTATGTTTCTTCCACTTTTATTCTAATGAATATTCCCCCATTTTACATAATATCAAATGCTTTCCTGAAGTCAACATAGATTTCCTGTGTCAAAACAAAAAAAAGAAATTAATACTCAAAAGCTAGCAGATTAGTCTACTACCAATACATTTTCATTTTATGCTACTCTCATTAACCTCCACATGTTCGATTATTCTTTCCCCTATAAGCTTTCATATCATTAAGGTCAGACAGAGAGATGTTTAATTGCCCAAATCATTCTTTTTCTCCTCAGTTTCTTAAATATTCTGTAGTCACACAACATTACTATAGTCACAGCAAAACTTGGTAAATTATGTACTTACTAAACTTTTAGTTCCATATCTCAGTTATCTCAGAATGCAGAAATGGAAACTGGTATTTACAATATGAGAATACAGTACTGTGATTTTTTTTTTTCTTTCAACAAATTTCTATGGAGACATTTTGCTCCCCTCCTCCCCATCCCCAGGTCATTATTCTTGCTTAAAATTAAAGCAGTATTTCATCTAGTTTTGAGACTACACCTGTTTTATCTTAAATCCTACAAATAATTCTCCGAAGCAAAGCAATACTACTTGTGTGCTCTCTCATTTATATTGCTGTAAACCTTCTGCTACTTTTTGCAACACATATTTCAGCTGATATTTCAGAAATCCTGCGTGCTGCCCAACCTGTATGACAATTTTATTGGATGGTCGCAATCTCCATATCAAGAGAATCTTCCTCTTGCCTACAGATATTTTGCTTCCCTTATGCTATTCTGGCCCCTATATTCTGAGGGGAGAGAGTGACAGTGACAAGCTGATCTCTAGCCTGATGCAGAAAACTATATCGTATTACATATGAAAAAAAATTCTGAAAATATACTAATGCTTTCGCCATTTGAACTTCATACTGGACTGATGGACAAAGATTACTGAATAATTCTCTAAAATTGCCAATGTTATTGATGCAGCATTTAAAAGTAAAGTTAAATGACAAAAAATAGCCTAAAAAAAACCCCAAAACAACCAAAAAATCCTCCATATTGTCAGATGGTTTAGAGCACTAATAAAGAAATTTCCAGAGGCAAAATATTAGAAGGTTTCTGTAAACACCAGCAGAAGCCTGAAATATCTATTAACAGTGGAAAAAGATCTAGTTGGATATACTCACTCAGTGCCACTGAAAAGACAATATTTATGCTTTATTTCTTCCAAGATGACGTTTTCTCTTGTCTTCTACAGCCATTTTCTGGCTCTCACCTTTTTTTTTTTTTTTTAGCATGCGTGTGTGTAACAGGCACATACGATACTCTTGTTGAAATCCTTTTTTCCCCAAAGCTCTGACAATGCCATTGCCTCTTGAGCCCTTGGACTTTCCCTTCTGCAGCCAAAGCAGACTACAGTTGCACACATGACAGAAGCAGCTCTCTAAGCATTGAGATTGAACTAGTTTTCTCCTATTTTGAATTCAATATGAGCACGCTAATGTAGTGTAATTGGTAAACAATGCATAAGCATTTTTGTACCCGGTTCCCTAGTAATAATAGTACTATCATCAGTAGGAACAGGCCTCAGACCTTATACTAACTGTGCCCTATACTACCTACACATAAGCC